ATCGCAATGTGACTACATGTTTCTACGTGTCATAAATTCTGCTAATTTTCTTTTTTATTTGCTACCTATACTTGTCAATGTCATAAGCACTTTGAGAGTAACAGCAATTTGAAACACTAATACCTGAAGTATTTTTGCATACAGGGTATAACAGAATTGGTGGTCCCAATTTTAAGGAGTAATAAAACACTGTAAAAGAAACAACTTTCATAATACAATGTAGTGTGAAATGGAAACCTCAGATCTTCAATAAGCAAAAAGAACACGGAGAACGTAAAGTCATTTTAATCATGAAAATTTATAAGAAATAATGTCAATCGAAGTCGATTGAATTTTCGTAGCTCTTAATGTGTCCCTCCAAACAAGAAATCCCTGCATATCAAATCTGATGATCATGGTGGCCAACGAACATGTTTATCCCGTCCGGTTCAGTGCAGGTCACAAGAGCTTCGAAATTTAATGCTGCTGTTGAAGTGAGCTGGTGTTCTGTACTTCTGGAACCATATTTGTGTGCAAACAGCTAGAGGAATATCGGAGAGAAGTTTCGTCTTGGTATCATGTAGAAGAGTCACATACGTGCGCCCGTTCAAGTGACTGTTTAGAACAGTTCTTAACACGTTTCACCACATGCATCCCTTCCTTCCTTTCTTTCTAAACTTAAAAAATACATACATATATACATTTATTTAGATTCAGATTATTTTTTAATGTGTTTTATAAATTAAACAATTAAAAGTATAGAAACAACTAAAAGTATACAAAATGTTGATAAATACCAAAATTTCCAAGTAAAAGTAGTTTTTTTATATTTATAAACTAAAATTAGTTATTTAACAGCTAAATAGAAGCCTAAAAGTATAAAATTTGCCCTCATCCGGTTGAGAACTAAAATGTTGCCTTAAATAAGATAAAATTTATCTTGGATATATGATAGATAACTAGAGAATAAAATAACACCTCCATTTCATACATCCACCTTTACTTATATCATTGACCTATATCCTGCAGGCCCACTAGTGGCCGATGACGGTTAGACCCGATGAGTATTGGTATTAGTTGGTTCTAGTTTCGTAGCAACTGGCTTGTATTTACATTACACGTGATAAAAACTACTTGTAACGTGAATACGAGCTGATTTCCTTTAGAAAGTCCTCTACGAAGGCATTCTTCCCTTAGACTGATAGCCCTAGTATGCTTTACCGTCTTCATATATCCAAATATATGTGTATGTACTATAAATCATATATGATTTTAATACACTTAAATGTGTATATATAATAGTAAGAAATTTAGAACTATAACCACAAAGACATGAAAGAAATGAAATTTAAAACCAGTAAAATTCCTAAATCTTCCAATAAAAAGTGTAAAATAACCCATCTACTCAGTGTTTTAAAACCAGACGAAATCCTCAGAACAACAAAAATACATAAAAATACATATAAAAGGAAAATGAATATAATTAAAATCTGATTGAACGTTATCAAGAGGAGGTAGATCAGATTCAATTGAGTCCCTCCTTCTAGGAAAACCACTGTTCTCTATTTATCCAAAATTAGCTGACAAACCATGTTAAATTATTTAATTATAATAGTTCATTCTGAATTCCTCTGAAAATTCTGAATGCCTCCTCTACACAGTAGCTTTCCTACCATATGAAATAAAATACAGGAAAACAGATTTAAATGAAATAAATTCAATGCCTAATAAAGCAAAAGTAAAATATATACTATTCAAAATAAAACATAACAATTTACAAAATATAAAATTAACTAAGAACAAATTTTTTTACCAAATTAATAAAAATGTTTGAGATACTTTCTCTCTCTATATATACACACACTATAAAAGCAAAATAAATTATGCATTACTGCCCCAGTAAATGATATTCAAAATATTTGAGCAGCACACATTGTAACGTTTTTAGTTTGAATATGTTTAACAGTTATCATCTTTGGGGGAATAATAATCCACATACATGCCTACCAAGAAAGCTTCTTCATTAACGTTTGGGTTGCATGGTGCATAACAGTATTAGTTGTACCTGTATATTCTAAGAACACATCACGCCGAAGGGCACAAACAAAGTAAGAATTTTGTCAAAAACGAAATTCGCAGTGCTCTTTTGGCAAGACTTAAGCGGATCCTGAAACATGTTTATATCCAAGGCCGAAATCCAAAACGAAGGTAGACAGATAGCTGTCGTGTGCTTTGCCATAATCAATAAACCAGTCAACCAACCAAAACGAAGGATCGCCAGTTTTGATTCCTAGAGCAGTAATTACACATAAAATCCACAACAAGAAACTGTTTGAAATAACTTTTCTGCTGGTTTTTTCGTTAAAAGAGAGTACGTAAGCCAAAAGTAATAGATTGCACATTTCAGTTTGCCAAGATTGCTCAGCACCAAAGATTCAGCAGAACAAGAGGTAAAACCAGATGTTTTCTTTATATGGCAAATCTACAGAAAAGTTGATCAACATTTTTATTATCTTAGGTTTTTAGTGTGAAATACAAGTTTAAGGGACATTTTGGTCAAATTACAGATTTTGTTAGACGCACTTCAAGCAAACAATTTCAAGGGCCATTCTACTTAGCGCAAGCTCTACCATTAGTGCATAAACATGGAAAATAGCTACACTGAAGCAGATGGAAATAAGATTTAATTAAAACATTTTTCCAAATTTAAGTTTCCATTTCAGGTTTATTTTTGATCAGCTTGGTACATGGTTCAACAATGGAAAGCACTAAACCCGTTGGAAACTTAACCACTCAGATGTATCCAACAGGAGTATTAGAAGAAAAAAAAATGGTTGCGTTTGAGGAGAATTTAGAAAATGATCTGAATAGTTTATTTAATTAGATCTTTTGTTTTTTTTTATTTTTTCCAACAGCTAAACTCTCTTAACTAATCTTAAATAATTCCACCTTTCCTTTGTTTTCAAATCCTTAAAATAGAGAAAGAAACAAACTCATAATAAAAAACAGAAACACACAAAAATTGCAGTAATGATTTCAGTATCTATGGTATTTGTAAATACAGCAATCCAAATTGTTTGCATTGATGGATGTTTTTGATCTGAGAAGATAGTAAACATACATACTTACTTTTATAATTAATTTTGGAAAGAAAGATATGACGAGTAAATGAGATTTTCTTGACGAGTTAACAACTATACAACTATACGCCAAGTAAATAACATTTACTTGGCACGTCTTTGCTACAAATGGTTCAATGAGTAAGGGATTTGCCTAGAATCGGAAATGTTCTTTCCCTATACACATTGAAAAAAATATGCTTTTTTCTCTCAGAAATGTCTTCTTTTTTTTGGATGTAGGAGGGGGGATTGATGATTTCACTGGTATTTTTACTCTTGTGATGAACAACAGTTTGGAATGGAATACTGCGATATCCTTCGTTCACCAGCTGAAAAAAGCAGTTGCATTTATTGCAGGACAAAAATAAGAGGCAAAGTAAAAGCAAAAGACCATTAAATTGAATACTTATTTACCACTCCTTGCTTATTTATCAGCTTCTAGAAGCCATGTAAAAATAATTGAAGGGAAGAAATACGCGAAGTAAAACTGAGTAAAACCATGTTATTTGAAGTAAATTTTATCATTTGCAACCGAAAGTGATAGCGAATCGTTTTTGCTAAAGTACACACACTGGCCGATGAATCAGAAACCCAAGATCAACATTTTATTGGACCCCCCTTTGCACAGATAACTGCTCTGATTCGTTTGAGCATCGAATCTACATGCTTGTGGATTCAATTTACATCTAGAGAATATCATGCATTGGCTATGCAACTCTTTAGATCTTGTAAATTAGATAGAAGAGAAGAGTGCTGTCGGATACATCTTTCCACCACATCCTAAACATTTTCTGTAGAGTTAACATCCGAACTATGCGGTGGCAGGGAAGGTGTTGGAAGTCAGACTGCTGTTCAGCGAACCAATTTTGAACACTTCTGGCACGATGTACAGTTGCATTACCGTTCATGAAGTATCCGTCGCCATCAGGGAAAAATGCAACATTGCAGGGTGCACTTGATCTGCCAATATATCTAGGTACATCATGACTGTTTATCCTCGAGTAACATCAGGGCACCACGTCCATATCAGCAGAACATGCCCCATATCATGATACTCCCATGAGACCCTTGCACAGTTGCGAGTAAGGCAAGATGGATTCATGGCTTCATGGGGTTCTCGCCAAATCGGACGTCTTCCATCAGTGCAAAATAAGATGTAGCGTGATTCAACCGACTACATTACTCGTTTCCAATCGTCAGATGTCTAGTAATTTCTTTCTCGACACCATTGCAAACGAGTTCTTGCATGTCGAGCAGAAATGAGTGGTTTTTCTCACAGGCACCCGACTATGCATTCCTATTCACTGCAATTTTCTGCGCATGGTTCTAGCTGAAATCTGTTGGGAAGAGCCTTGATTGACGATCTGTGTCAGTTGAAGCACAGTCGAGTCCCTGTTCTGCCGTACAATTCGTCGGAGATGACGCCGATCACTCTTTTGGAAAACTGCTTGAATCGCAGTTACGTCTTCTAGAGAAGGACTGTGGGTTCTGATTCCCTAATTTTGAAATACTTTGATATGGCTGCTTTTGAGACCGAGTGAGATTTGTTTGTATTCGAAATCAAGGTCCCGGCTAAACGGGCACCAATAAACGGGAACCAATACCCTTTTTTAAATGGTGAAAGATCTGTCGTTTTCCTATTTTACTGCATTGATCGTGAAAATCACTCTTACGCTTTACTTATACTAGCATTCTAACCAAGCGTAACCCACGTCATAAAAAAGTTTGCATACTTCATCCCTAACACGCATTCAAATGAAAATCTCAAAGGTGTTTTAATTCATTGGCCAGTGCGAGTAAAATTTACTCCAATCAACATCGTTTTATCATCTTGTAACAAATTTCTATGTAGGATTTCTTACACAAAAATGTATCATAAAAGAGCCCATAATCACATTGTTACCGTCATGCAATTTATTTCTTTAATGAGGTACAAAATCTATCATGCTACATGAATTGCACACAAACTAATTTTTGACACAAACATCAAATGCAGAGCAATGTATCCATTAGACCATCCACTTGTTTAGAAAAATTATAATTTTGTACAAAAAGAAAATTAAGGCACAACACCCACTTTTTTAGTGGATGAGAAATATATTTTTTTTAATTTTTAAGTTATTGGAAAAAGTGTAGAATTTTGTTTTTTTTAGTTATTCTTAAAATATAACAGAACACAATATCGAAAAATATTGTAAGATCCGCATGTTTCAATAATTGCTGAGCCAGTTTCAAATATGAAAAATTACAGTGAAGTAAATTTCCATTCACTCTAAATATTACATCTAATAATCTTAGCTTTCTGTATGCTGATTTCTATACCTTAACTTAAAAACAAGCTTCAGAAGGGGCGTGGGTGGAAGCTACTCCTTCAAGTGTAAGATTTCGTTTTCAAAATATGTGAAAAAATCTTTATTTAATCACATTTTTTAATATCTTCGCCAGGGAATTAGAAAATTTTATCACTGAAATAAATTTCTTTCTGTCAATAAGAAATACGCAAAAATGGGAAAATATTATACATAATTTTCCTATTTAGAGGATAGGATTAAATTTTGCTAAAAGTAAAAATTAAATTTTTCACATGATTTAAGAAAAAATATATTTTGGTAATGGTTTTAGTATTCTTATACACGGAAATGTTGCTTGATTCCTATGTAAAGGAATTAAATGAAAAATGAGTATATAGTTATTTCTTTTTTAATATGTTTTTCATGAAATAAGTGATAAACTCGTAATAAAATATTTTTCAAAGAATAACGAAGCATTAAATATGATGATTAAACGAAATGGTTTAATTTGCAAGTAGAAATAACATTTTTGCTAAGCGCACATACGTTATTCCTCTGACTACTTTCAGATATTTTTCTTAGATTTACGGTGGCACATTTTCCCTACAAAATGTAGACAGCAAAAAAACAAATGAAGAAAACTAGAAAATATCCATGGTTATATGATTTCCTAGAATCTTAAATCGAAAAGAGTTCTTTTCCTATAGTCCTTGAAAAAATATGCTTTTTTCTCATAGAAATGTTTTTCTCTTTTGGATGTAGGAACGAAAAAGATGATCTCACTGGTATTCTTGCTCTCGTGATGAACAACAGTTTGGAATGGGATATTGCGATATCCTTCGCTCACCAGTTGAAAATAGCAGTTACATTTATTGTTTCGAATTTCCAGCTTTGAGTTTTTACATCACGATCACAAGGATTCATGAAAATTTCTTTCCGATTTAAATCACAATCCAAACATGTACCTGTCAGTAAATGAACAAGATGCTGATTCTCCTGAAAGAAAGAAACAAGGAACACATGAGTACTCTAATAAAGAAATCTTGCAGATAAGATTGATGTAAAATGTTAAGTTAAATGCTAGAGCCACTTTTTCTTTTTATAATATTTTAAATGCAAAAAAGATTCCCGGAAGAAAGAAATACAGAATTGATCAATGGTCTAATAATAAAATAAATACTTATGATTAATGTAAGACGTAAAGTACGTTGTCATAAACTTGTCTCTTTTTATACATAAGTATACGTTTAAAAAAAGAGGAAACTAAGACACATAAGTAAATTGCACCAGAGCAAGGAATTGGACTCATCAGATCAAATAGTTGTGGCAAGTATTTCAAGGACTATTAATCTAAAGGCAGAGATTGCTTCGAGGACGAATTACTTGTATTGACTTAACGTTCTATGCAACGAGTCAATTACCCCTTTAGAAATGAAACCCTGGGAAGTCAATCCATGACTTCAGCTAATTTTCCATTGACAGACTGCACTAAAGGCAAGATAAGTCATAAAATTTAGTTCATTACAACCTTTGTCATTGAAAGTAACTTGGAACTATAGTCTTGATATTAAACTCTTTTTTTCAGCTGTATCTCTTACTAATAAAGCATTATATTTTATACTTCTGAAGCTGACCAGTTGGTTATGAACTAAGTTAACAAAAACAGGTGTGCCTACAGGCACACCTGTTTAACACCTAGAGCAAAAATGTCATAATCTCTGAAGATTAGTTTAACTTTCGAGAAAAGTAAAGTATAGAGTGACGAAAAATCATAGAAATAAAGAAAAAAAAAAAAAAATGCAGGGTGGTAACACGATCTTTAACTTTGGCAATAACAAATTAGCGAAAATGCCGATTTACAAGCATGTCTAACACATCAGAATAATTTATGTTGCGTTTTATTAAGGCAATATATACAAATTTGGTTTTATCCTTAGTACGACTCTATCGAAAACGTGATTAGAAATTATTTTTCATTATAGGAAGGGTTAATATTATGTCATCATTATAATTCCTCTTTAGCTCTGACGTTTAAGATTTCTAGAAAAAGTGAAATAACAGTTCTAGGAAAAAAAAACTTGCAAAGAAATATTGAAAATTTTCTTGGAATAAGGGTATAAATTTGCATTAGATTACTCAATCATTAAGCCAAACTTTTAGAATAGAATTCTCCAGATATTACATTTGACAATCTTGTACGAAAGCTGTCGAAGATCTCTTATCGAGCAATGATCTAAATCTAGGTTTAGTTATCTCATCAGATTTTAAACGGCCTTTAGCAGATGATCCTTGTCAGAAGAGGAATATGGAGAAATGTCATCGACAAATACATTTATCGTCTGAATCGGAATATTCCTAATTGAATTATTTAATGTCTGTATTATAACTTGGGCAAAAATTTGTCTCTTTGTGCATTATGGTTGAAATGAATAAAATGTAATATTTAGAGGGAAAAGAATTTGAAATAGCTTATGGTGTTACATCTAAAATACTTTACCCACAAAAATGCGAGGTTAGTCCAGAAGTAAATCATCAGACAACAAGCCATGAGAGCATTTACGTACATGAACATATAAATGCTTTTGGTTATTTATATACGCGAGAGAAATATATACGTCTTAACGCTTTCTCTTCAATCAGAGCGTCACTTCACGGTGAACAATATGATTTGCAACGATGGTTGACAAATATTCCTTGTAGGTGACATTTTCTTTTATATAATGGCTTGAATAAGTTATGAGCTTACCATATCATATTTCCATAGTTGATTTCCTTGCATTCCGTGGCAATTCCATAGTACTACAGGTGCATGTTTTTCCGAACTGGAAACATCGAAACAGACGCTTCTTTTGGCGGGACGGATATCTTTGTGCCAAGATAGTACAAATTGCTGAAAAAGAAAAAAAAAAGTTAATCAATCCTATTAATTTATTGAGAAGGTTGATTAAACCAACGATTTTTCAGTTTTTTTTTTGTATTGAAAAAGCTAACTTAATGCAAATTAAGAATTATTTTCAAGGAATGTTCTTGAGTATTTGTTATAAATCATTGCTTCGTAAAACCTTTTATGCTTACCGTCCTCATATCGAGGTTTATATTACTGAGCTTCCCCTTAGTGTTTATTCAAAAACCCCACGTATGTAATAATGTCATATTTAAATGTCCTTTGAATGTGATCTGAAATGCATTGAAATGCGAATCAAAAATACATTGAAAGTTTAAGGCATATTGCACTAGTTTTGCACCAAATTGAAAATTAACTTTTATCTCGCAATACAGAAAGAGAACACTAACAAACAAAGGCTGTTCAAAGTATTTACAATAATGAACTTGACAAAATATAGAGATATTTTTGTCACCCCACGCACTGAGATATATGTAAAATGAGCATATCACCTGCGCATACTGAATATCAGTGTCAATATAGATATGGGAAACACGTTTTCGAAATTTTTAGGTGACAGCTCGAAGTTGCGTACCTTTTGAATAAAAAAATGAAATCACATAAAACATAAACCAATATATATGATTGGTTGGTCTAGATTGTTGGTCCTTACAAGATTTTGTATGAATGTGTGACTGTAAAGTTGGAATAATGAATTAAATATTTATTAAAAAATATTTAGGTAAGAACATTCTCAAGCATGGGGTACACCCGGGATCTCTGAGTCCACCGACGGGTGACAGCACCCATGTTAGAAAACTGTGCTTTAAATAAATTTTGGATTACGAAGATTACCCGAAAACAATACCTCTGCTTTTTGTACTATCACAAAAACAGAGATTTAATTAATATATAGTCAATTAGTAAAGTGATACTGTTGACTAGATTTATCGACCGGTAAAATCAATAGATTCTGGTAGTTTTACCTAGGTTCAAATCCCGACGACGGGGGGGGGCTAATATGGCAAGTTTCTTTGTTTTCGCATGTGCACCTTTCGCACGTGTGATTCCTTCCCAAAGGCTTCCCCCTCCTAGGCAGATAAACCTCGAGTGTTTTGCCGTAATCTAAATAATCCAATTCTGATTTCTTAAGCAATGCAGGTTATAAAACAAATTTTTATTTAAAAAGGGTCGCATAAATCGTATAATTTTGATACTGAAACTATGAGATAGCCCTTAGAAGCTTAAAGAGGAAAAACGAAGTAATTCAGTTGAGTAAATATACTAAAATGATACTTTTATGCATGAAAATGCTCGCAGATATTTCCTAAATATAAGTTTTATAGAATAGCTTGTTTTTAAAATCGATACGGCCTCAAACGGAACTTACTTTTAACGTTTGTATGCACTAAATGTACTCGCTTTGTAAATCACACTTAAGCTACAGAAATTTCTCTGGAAAACAGTAGTTTTCAGGAAAGGAATTTTTACAAAGAAATTCCTCTAGTTAAATCTCTTGTATCATCATTCTAAAATAATGTCAATCTTTGTATAAAATAAAAAAAGATATTTTGTATTGCTACATGCTTCCAGGGGACAAATGAAGGTGAGTTCTGCTCTCAATATTGCCAAGTAATAAAATGCTTTTGCATCATATAATAAAAAGGATCTGTTTGTTCTTTAATCCTAATCCTTCCTGCTCAAAGAAAATTAACCTTTACACACAGAAACCAGACATCGGACATGATAACAGAGCCACGGTCTAGGAAACGGAAGGCATAAATTGGCGTTTAAATCCATACAAATACAAATGAAAACATACAGCTCTGTGATAGAAAGGAATCTTACTTATGCAGGTGCTATTAGGGCTTTTCCAATGCAAAAGAGAAAAATTAAACATCTTAATTTATAACATCTTAATTTATAACATCTTAATTTTATCTTAATAATTAAACAAGCCCATTTGTCCTTACAATTACCAAATCTTACGGTACTACAACTGTTGCAGCTACTGTGCTGCAGTTTCTTCCATTGTATGTCCGAGTACAGCATGAAGCAATTCTTATGAATATACTAGGACTGAAAAGGCGAGTAAGCTATGCCGGAGAAGTATGTAATCCACTCTATTAAGAATATGCCACAATTTCACCTAACATTCATGCGGCACACAAGGGAATATTTAAAAGTATATTCATTCAAATAGATACGCAACCCGAATATTTATCATATCTCAATAAAATGTTTAGAAGCTACACAGACGGTTCTAAAACTAATAATAATATGGGATGCGCATTTGTTCTACTGGAGGGGGATTGAGTTACATATCAATGGAAAGGACATATTAACAATGTAAATAGTGTATTCCAAGCAAAAGCATTAGTTAAAGTTATAAGGTATTTTTCACACTTCCCTAGCGTGCCTTCGTGGTGTAGTGGTTCTGCACACTGAGCCGGTATTTCAGAGGTCCGTGGTTCGATTCCCGGCGAAGGCGGTTGCTAATTTTTCATCTCTCCGGCTTCCAAGAATCCTAATGTCTCTACAAGTGGCGCCCGAACTAAAAGGGTTGTGGATGATGATTCTCCGCACCCAGGATTTGGCGACTAGGTACCCTAAAACCCTAGTCGCCGTTTAAAAAGAGGAGTATATAAGGTATATAAGGTATTTCTCCCACTTCCCTAGCGTGCCTTCGTTGTGTAGTGGTTCTGCACCCTAAGCCGGTATTTCAGAGGTCCGTGGTTCGATTCCCGGCGAAGGCGGTTGCATATTTTTATCTTTTCTGCTTCTAATTAACCTAATGACTCTACAGAGTAACTGAATATATTGTAAACAATAATATTGTTCACTAAATTATTCACTGACAGTATATCAGTACTTTTTGCAAGTTCGAATTATTACGGAACGGGAAAAGAACTCGTGCCAAAATTTGTTGGATAAAAGCTCTTGCTGGATCATATGCAATGAGTTAGCTGACCAACTAGCCACCGGAAAATTATAGTGCAGAATATGCTCTCATTCCTTGGCCTAGATCCTATCTTAAAAATATCTCTTGAAAATGTCATTAAAAAATTGCAAGAAGAGCAGTATTTTTGTGAACAAGGCAGATGCACGTTTATTAGTATCTACCAACAGTTGATCCAAGTCGTAAAATTTGGATTCCGCATTTATCAAGATACATTGCAGGATACGGTCCTTTCGCAAAGTTTTACTATAAAAATGAATTTATTAATACCGATCATTGTGTATGTCGGGCACTGAATCTGTCCCTTAATGAAACAACACCATATTAAATTTCCTGCAGTTAATGCCATTTTTTTCAAAAGTACTCAGCAAAGAAACCTTGTTCTTAAAATTTGTAAAAGTATGAATCTCTTTTCTGCACTGGGAAAAGACATTTCCCATCCCGCTCAAAAATATGAATATAATAGTAGCATATTAATTTTTTATAAAATTTTATTATTTTGTTCATAATCTCATACTTAGTTTCTTCGTTAGGAAAATAAGCTGTAAAGGCTTAATTAAGACATTATAATTATTTTCATGACCGATTTTATGAATGTTTGGTCGAACTTTATCGACTCTGTGAATCGTGGTCTTTTTTGAACGGTATTTTTAATGCAGTTGCATTTTTATTCCTTTTCCATGTAAATATATTTAAAATTTATACTTTCAAATTATGTATTGAAATATGGAAAGTTGTAATTAATTGAATGCAATTAATTTAATTTAATTTAATTTAATATTTAGTTAATTTGTTTAATATTTAAAATTAAAATAATTAAACATGAATGTTGGATAATACCTGTTAATCACCGGTAAAGACCCCATTCATCGTCAACCGAGATGAATTACGTTACGCACATTATAGGACAATTAGATTAATTTGGGAGCTTTGTGGGAACCCTCGCGTATGACTTTCACCCTATGTACCTCAAATGCGAGCTAGTGTCCCTTGAGAGCTTATCAATAACAATAGCATAGTTTTGGTTACCCATTTTGTTAAGTGGTAAAGACACTTCGCAAAGAATTTTCTTCTCTCAAGGATGCCCACCAACTATCGAGCAATAAAACTTCTGAACACAGCGTGACTCGGGTCCAAATCCAGGTGTTGGGCTGGATGCACCGGTAGTTTCGTTGTTTTCCCCATATGTAACGTTTTTATGTAAAATGTTTTTCATGAAGAAAGGATAGAATTTCCTTTTTCTTATCTCGATCATCATTACGAAAATCGTTTTTGTAACTTTGATCGATTGTTGATTTTAGATCAAGAAACGGGAATAAAATAAATTTCTCCTTAGCAGAAAGAAACCTCACTGTGCATCAAAATGCCGTAGCCCGGAAGTGCAGAAGAATTTCGCTTATTCTTACGTGCAAATAACATTTTAGCTTATTCAAAGAAGGTTAATCCGGTTTTCATACGCAGCTTTTGTTTCAAAATTGGACAAGTGAAGAAATAACATTACAACTGATAGAAGGTAGACAGAATTCGGTTTCAAAAACTCTCACTTTGAATATAAAAATATGAACAACAAATGGAATGATCTTGCCTGTCCAACATCTGTCAGAGGGTGAAAAATACAACAGGCCAAGCAAGCGACTTCAGTTTGAAGAAAGAGTTTTCGAAGTAGAAAGATGGAATAAAAGCCACCTAACAGTTTTTCTTTGGAAGAGACTTCTTTTTCGGATTTGAAGCAATGTTATATATTTTCTCCAAGAATTTCATTCTCAGGAAAATGTCCTTTTCGATTTAAAACATAAACAACTGCAGTAGAAAACTCATACTTAAATTTACATGATAAAAGGTTAAGATTAATTTATTCCAATTTCTTTATAATTTGCAGTTTCTTTATTATAATTCTGAGTAATGCTGGTAAAAATATCAGGTAACATTTTCAGTTAAGTGTATTTTTTAGATAATTTTCTCTGTTTAGCTTAATGGTTACTGTGATTCAATCTAAGGTGAAAGGATGATTCCCAAAAATATGTGCAAATGTATTTAAATAATAATT